GTTTACTGACATTGCCGGTAAACCCATGTGTCTTATTTGTGGAGCTAATGTGGCTGTAATTAAGGAATATAACCTAAGACGGCACTATGAGACAAAACATCAGGACAAGCTGAAAAACATGAATGGAGAGCAGAAGCTACAGAAGGTAGAGGAGTTGAAGAGGAATCTGACATCACAGCAGACGTTTTCACCAAAGCAAAATGACAGTGAAGCTGCTGTGAAAGCAACTTTTACTGCCGCAGAGGAGAAAATGAGCCCGGCCATTTACCGAGGTTTCGAAGTTTGAGGGCATTTGTTCAGACCACTCATTTATTCAGGGTTTTTGTTTAATATGTCACCTTTCTGTATCTTAATTCATAATTAATTTGGACAATATATAAAATATACAGAAACAAATCTACTGAAAAACTAAAAAGGTTTACTCTGAATATATCTGAATTTTATGATTTATGAGAACACTGTAAACATCTAACTACATTGGACCGTTTGTGCTCATTGATAAGACATTACAAGCTTTTCTATTAATGTAACCAAAAGTAGTGCTTGGAGAAAAAAAAAACAAAAAAAACAGAACGGGAGTATATTGAGTTTGCTAAATCTCACCATTCATCCATCTTGTCAAAACATTAATAGAATGTGATAATGCGTTGTCACCTAGCTGCTTCACCAACATACTGGCTAAGTGCTGCCGGCTCTGCTCGTGGGCATCCACTGTGAGATTTTGGTTGTTAGAAAAATAAGAACTTCCACCCAACATCAGTAGATCAAATTAAACAAACATAACAGTAATAAGCTTAATTTTCAGCCTGTTAGGTATTTTTAGTCAGATAGATATTGGATAGATACTTTATGTATTAGAAATGTTTAGTGGAGATAGGATGTCTAGTTAGACTGTTAAATGCTTAGTCATGCTTATGAGTTTCTACAGGGTACATCTGGTCAAGGATAACTAGAGAGAAGAGTTGATGACTGTCAGCAGACAGGATGTTTAATATTATTATTATGACGTGTATAACTGTAGCCTTAGCCATAATATGTTCTTATGTTTAAGTCACGACATGTTACTAGA